GGCAGAGGACATCTGGATTTAAAGAGGTATGTGTTCACAGGAAGGGTCTCCCAGGAGCAAGACCTGACCACATCGACATTTAAATTCAAAATGTTTTTACTTATTTCAATGGTGTTTTTATTTTATAATTACAGTAGGATCAAGAAAAGTGGGGCAGGAATGGACCTTGGGAGGTCACATCTTGTCCGACCCCCTGCTCAAGGCAGGGTCATCTCCATCTTATGCAAATGTTTGGCAAAAATTTTCTTTAAATGGCATGACCCACTCTCTTGTATAATTACCAGGCATAATGCTTAAACATCCCAAAATACCCTGACTAGCTACAGGTAAAGTAGGGGGACAAGAGCACCATCAATGTCCTGCCTCTCCAAAGACAAAAGTCCTCTGTTAAAATATGATTTAGAAATGCAAGAAAGAGGACCATGCCCCCAAACTTGTTTTTAATGGGAAAAAAGGGATATTCCAGCATTTTCAGAATTTTTCACAGCTTCCCCGCCCCCGGCAAAATGTCCTAAATGCCATGAACCCCATGACAGACAAGGTTCTTTGGGTGAATGCAATATATTTTATTAGACCAATTAAATAGTTGGAAAAAATGTTCCTTGGAAGCTTTCAGTTACAAACACCCTGCTTCAGGTGGAGGGAGAGTCACCAACACCTTTGAACCTCATGAGGCTTGCGTGGGGTTCATCTACCTAACTTTGGTGCCATCTAAAGCTGCTTTATACCAGAAGCCACACAGCTGCAGAGATACCTCGGTCCATTTTATTTAGTATCTACCCCTGGGCAGGCTCACAAGTGATTCAGGTCTAGCATAGAGAGGTGGAGGTATTGGAGAAGCCTGGGCAGTGTCGGTGGTTGTGCTGCTGCTGCTCTCTTTACGCCTTGTTTTGGGGTGCACACTTAGGGCTGCTGCCCACTCACTCCCCCATGTTATGCTCCTGTCATGCTTCTCCATGGCTCCCAGCTCACAATGTGAAACAAAAAGCATTGCTGGGGAGCCCCCACACACCACCAATTGTCCCCGGGGAGGCAGGTAGAAAAGCACATGTATAATACTCTCCTCAGCAGCCCTGAATGCAAGTGGTTGTGCTGCTGTCTCCTGTCATCTATCCTGGTGCTCAGAGAACTTTTCTTGGAGGTTGGAGACCTGGCTCTAACTCCTCTTGGCCTGAGGGAATTTGCCTTTGCATCTTTCCTTCCTCAGGAAGGAGTATGGGGCCCCTGATCCCAGCACTGCTCATCCAATTTATGTTAGGAAGTCATTTGTTATAAAAGATAAATAACCCTGGCAGCTGGGACTGGAACTGAGGAGTTCCTTCTCCAAGAAAGTCCCTTGACCCCTCAGCCACAGGGACCCTTCAGGCCCCCTGACTCTTTCAATGCCCAGTGATCCAGATTCAGCTGAGCATGTTCAAGAGGACCTTCACAAAACCCATTTTATAGAAGTGAAGTCGGCTCCCTGGGAAGTTGGAGATGAGGGTTCAGACCCCTCAGAGTGATACAGGTAAGTGCTAAACTGCTGGCTGGAATGTGCCCGGCTCTTTCCCCAACTCTGCATTGCTTAAGTGCAGAAACCCAATGTGTGGCTACCTTGGAAATGGTATGAGATGCTATGAATGGTGAGTGAATGGAGAGTGAAGCATGTAAGCTCCTCAGAGTCCAGACACTCAAGCAGTTTGGTATGGATACAATCTTTAGGCATTTGGAGGCTTTGGAGGCACCTTCTGTGCTCTGTTTTCTGTTCAGGATCACTTGGAGGCATGTCTGAAGCTTTGCATCAGTGCATGTGTCTACATGTTCATTAATGCACTTTTGCTATTTACTACCTCCATTGTGAGAAACTAGAAAAAGGCACATTCACTTATTTTAATGTGCATTAGCGAGAGTGCACAGTTTTCTTTGTGATGCTTTAATGTGAATTAAAATAGGCTAATTAGCATTAAAAGTTCATGTGTAGATGCACCCAGTGATTTCCAATTGGGGTTTTACTGCATGAGTTCTTTTTAAAGGTGCCATGGAAGGGTGCCTAGAGATTTCAACTAGAAATCCATACTGTCAAAAATATTCTGACCTGCCATGGTCTTTGTGAGTGATTAGCCACAAAATACTTGCTCTGGTATTTTTCTATAGGGAAAAAAAAGTGAAAATATATTTGAAATGGGGTGCTGATGCAATGCTGATGCATAGGGGGTGCACGGGGGTGAGTGTCCACCCCGAGAGTTCTAGTGCACCCCCTGTCAGGCTGCACTCCCTGTTTAGGCAATGGGCAGGAGGGCAGGCAGGACCACCAGTGACCCCCCCACCCACCCGTGAGCACCGGCCAGGGAGCAGAGCCACCAGCAAAAGTGGCCACACTGCTTCCAGAAGCAGCCGTAGGACTTCCAGAAATGGCGCGGCTGTTTTTCGGTGATGCCGCAGGGGGACACCCCCTCCCCACTCGGGTCAGTGAGATTGGCCCGGTCAGCACGATTGGCTGTGGGGGCCCCCCTCCTGGTTGCTGACTGGTGTCAGGGGGGGCACATGCCCCACCCAACTCAAGAGGCACCAGGTGCCCATGTGCTGATGAGTTCAGAAACACAATGGAGGAGGCCCAAAGTCTGAAAGGTTGAGAATCACTGCTCTACCTTGACAGTATGGCAACTGTAGATACTTGACCTGGTCATTCAAAATCACCCTCCTTTGGCAGATGCTTAGAAGCAATGTCACAGTTTAGGGGCAGACTGAGACACTGCATCCTGACCAGAGTATCTCTTTGCTTTCTTTGGACAAAGAACCAAATTCTGCCATATTAACACCAACAGGAGAAGCTCTGATCTAGAATGACAGATTTTCTAATCTGCACGAAGCAGTAGACCTCAGTGGTTTGAAAAATAAAATAAAATAAAATTAGATTAAATTAAAATGGAATGAAATAAAATAATATATCTGATTCTTATGCCAGAATTTGACATGCCATGTAATATTATCATGCCAGTAGTAATTATACAGAATATGCATACAATGGTATGTTTTGATATTATGTTATATTTGCACAGTTATTGCCATTGCCATGA